CACTGGCAATTCAGTTGTTAAGCAAAGTAGAGGCTAAGTGAAATGGTGAATGTGCTTATTATGATAGGAGTGTACCATATAAAGATAAATTTGCTGTTTATAGAAGTTTATAGTATTTTTATCAGCAATCATTTAAATAATAGCTTTAATAAGTGACTATAATCTTTTACACTCTTGCACAATAACAGGAATAAAATAATCGAAGCCTGAATTTCTAGGATTCTTTTATGTAAATTCTATTTGCCACTGTTATTCTCCCTTTTCTCATATCCCTTGAGGATCAATTGCCTGCATAATATATGAATGTGTTGCAAATAAAAATACTTAGATTACATCATTTCCAGTGCATGGAGCTAAAAGAACAATATCTTTTTTTTCTATGCAAAATTGCCAGTTTTGTGGCATTTTTGCTTCATAATAAATTCCAGACCACTTCTCATGGTAAATCTAAGTCTTCTGTAAAGTGATCTTATGGACTGTAAAGACTGTTGGGATTTTGTCCCTGACTTGCAAGCAGAAGCTTTTTGAACATTAAAGTTTTATTTGTTAAAACTGAACATTGTTTTGAAAGTCATTTCATGAAATTATGTTTAGATGACTATATGCTGCAAAATTAATTTAGGTGATCACTGTCTGGTTGTCTTTGAAAATAAAGCTATGTTTCTCATTTAAGTTTAGTTACAAAATCAGTATGTATATATCAGATTCATATTGAAAAGTTAGTACAATGATCAAAGGTATCTGCAGGAGAAGTCAGAAAAGTCACGTAGTATGAAATGCATGTAAAACAAAGATGGGCCCTTTTAACCCTTCTGTAGATAATAATGACATAGGGCAATGGTGACATTGGCATCTTGATTTCTTCATTTCTAAGAGTTTTTTAAAAAAATCTTAATGGGTTCCAGAAAATATTTACAGCGTGTCATTTAATGGGATGAAAATTATTTTTGCATTTTTTTTTTCAGTGAGGGGTTCTAAAAATATGTGTTTTTATACCAAGAATTCAAGTTGCTATTATTTTTGCAATTGCACAATGCATAGCTTGGTATAGTAAATCCACATCTGATCATATACCTCACAAAAGTATCTTATAACCCAAATACTGTTAACTTTATCTTCTTAAAATTACATCTTGTGCTACAAAAATTAGAATTTTTTTCTGCATGAATCTTATCTAGGTAAGCAAAAAATAATCCATGCAATCATAAACTAACATCAGAAATCAATTATTTGAGTTTCAAAAATGTTTAAGTGAGTTTCATTAAGTCTTATTTTGATTCATTCTTCGATATCAGCCACCAATTTGCTTCTTGGCTTCAGCTACTGTATAACCCTCATGTTTCTCATGTGTATATACGCTGCTTGCTGCCTCTGTGACCTGTTTCACACATCTCTCTATTGATTGGGCATGAGCGGGCCACTCTGGTACTTGCATTGGTTCATCAATGAACTTCTTTCTTTCTGCTGTAACCACTTTAAAGAACATAAAAGATCGCTCATATACCCCTTAAGACCAGTCAATCAGCTCCAGCAAAGTGGATGTTCTGGTGTTGATTTGCTGAACAGAAAGCCATGGCAATGCACTCTCAGATAATCCCTTTTCTTCTGTACCTCTTTTATATAGAGTGATTTGTAGTTTATTGTTTTGTTATTCACAATGGCAAAAAGATTGGATTTAGCATATGTTCTGTTTGATAATTGGCTTGATAATGGGTTTTAATAGAAATGATCAAGAACAAGTTCTGGACAGGCAAGCCCTTGGAAAGTATCTAAACAATGAAGATTGGGAATCTCTTATCAGTCCAAGAGTTTACAACTGTAAGTGACAATGATTCATTCCCGGTAAGTAATAAATACAATTTATTAAAACAGCTTAGTTCATCTGGGCTTGAGGACATTAGCCCTCTTTAATCACTGCAGCCAGGTTTACTGACACAAGGGGATGAACTCTCATTAATGGAGTCACAGCAGATGGCAAATTTATCAGCCCATGAGGTTATGTCCAAGAAGCCCATGACAGAAATAATTTCAGTTGATTTTATAGCAAAAAGTGCCTCCCTAACTCCAGAAACTATGACTTCGGTTTCAAAAACTGTTATTAAAGAAAAGCTAGATAAGCTTCAACACTCTTTTAATTGCTACTATAAAAGAAAAAGTATAGGGGTACAGATGACATAAATAGAAAGGATTGTAAGTTGAATCACAACAAAGAAACAGATCCTTCGATGATAAAGTGGTTTGGGGCCACCCAACCACTCAGATACAAAGGATATCTCATTTTCATGTATTTCAATCTGCAATTAATGTTTTTTTAAATTATAATAACATTAACAAAGGAAATCTGTTCACTTACAAAGCAATACTTTTTAACTTAAGTCAGTCTCAACCAAATGTTCCAGGTTGATTTGGAAAAGATGGAATGATAGCAACAGAATGTTATTGAAGTTATATCCTAATGTTTTAGAAATAAGAATATTCTTGGTTCTCTTTTAAAGGTATTTAACAGGATATTCCAAGGTATTGGTGTTAGGTCATTCTAATCCAAACTGTAAAAGAAAAATGTCAGGCTTCAATGACTCAGAAAGAGGTAATAATTCTGATTATAGTTAGATGAGATCTTGCACGGGGAGGGGGGGGAATTAGTAGAGCTCCAAACAGTCTTAAAATTGTCTCTATGTAAAGTTTTTTTTCCTGATGATGATATGCTAAACATCTTTTAATTTATCATTGAATGACAAAGAAACTGATTCTTTTTGGAGGTTGGAAGATTTAAAATAATCTCTCACATTTCTATACATAATCATTACCCTACCCTACTTAATATCTTGCTGCATTTCAGAACACAAGCAAGAAATGTGGAAGAACAAATGTAGCAAAACACAAGATTACAAAGCAGATAGTGTCAATTTCAAACCAAATCTGGCAGAAGCCATTTTGTTAGTTCTCAGTTGCCACACAGCATGGGGTGAGGGAAGGAGCCTGGAATGCACTGCCAGACACAACACCAATCTTTCTGGTCGGAACTAAGATCACCTCCACAGGTGCCAGATGAAGACAGAGAGGAGTGCCTAATGAGCCCACCAATGAACCAGTGGTGGTATTCTACCATTTCAGTTCTACTGAGTCGGTAGCATTGATGAGAAGCAGAGATGAAACCGGTTCTTTCTGATGCTCTGCTGTTGGGCCCACACACACCCGGGCCACCATACTAACCTTTATGTCCTGCTTTTGAAGCTCAGCTGCTTTGCATGGCAAACAGATTGCTGTGCGGCAGCTGCTGAAGTGACAGGGAGTGTGCAGGCTTGCAGGAGGTGAGTCAGAAAGCCTCTGCCCCTGCGCGAAGTGCTCATTTGGCATGCGCATGCACGCAAAATGTGTGCACGTGCACAAAGCACACCCACCAAGTCACACCCAACAAACCGGTGGTAAAAATATTTGAAATGCACCACTGCAATGAACCTTATTGGACAGTATGACCTGTGACACTTGAGAAGAGAACATTTACTATTTTAGCTATACTGAACATATTCTTTGTCAAAATCTTTGTTTTGTCTTTATTTATTTTCAAACCAGCCACCTTCCCATATACCTCTATCTTTTCTATCAATTTTAAAGCTGTTTCTAGTGGGTCTTCTAAAATAAAAACCAGATCATCTGCAAATGCTTGCAATTTAAATTCTTCCTTTTTAATTTTCATCCCTTTTATATCCTTTTCTTCTCTAATATTTCTGTTTAGCACTTCCAAGGTTAACACAAACAACAAAGGTGACAGTGGGCACCCTTGTCTTTTTCCTTTTCTTATATCAGTAGAGTCTGTCAGTTCTCCCTCTATCATTACCTTTGCCGTTTGGTTATGATATATAGCTTCTATTGCTTGGATTAATTTTTTACCAAAGCCCATCTGTTCCAGCTGTAATAACATGAATCGCCAATTCACATTGTCAAATGCCTTCTATGCATCTAAAAATATCAAAGCCATTTGTTTTTCAGGGTGTGCTTCGTAGTATTCCAAAGTGTCCAAGATTACTCTCATATTGTCTTTAATTTGTCGCTTTGGCAGAAATCCATTTTGATCAGGATGAATAAAATTATTTAGGTATTTTTTAAGTCTTTCTGCCAATATTGAAGCAAAAATTTTATAATCTGTGTTTGGTAGGGAAATAAGTCTATAGTTCTTGATTTGTAATGGGTTGGCCTCTTCTTTTGGGACAAGTGTAATATAAGCTTCTGACCATGATTTAGGTATCTACTGTTTGTAGAAGAACAAAGAAAACCAGAAGGGGAGGAGTTTAACAAAGAAGAAACCAGCTTTGAAGAACAAAGGGAACAACAAGCAGGGGGAGAAGGAATTAAAATTAAAAATATGTGGTTTGATGTGATAACAAAAGGAAGAATGCTTTGGAAAATGAAAAAAAGGAGAGTGAAAAAGCAGAAAAGGGAAGTACTAAAGAAAAATTGAAAGAGGGAGGGAGATAAATTTAATAATTGAAATGAGAAATGGAGGGGAATAAGAATGGGGAAAAAAGGAATTAAGAGAAAGGACCAGAAAATGAAGAGGACTAGAAAGCAAACAAGGATGAAAAGGATTTGTACTACAAGGAGAGCGAGAGATAATGGATGAAAAAAAAAGGATAGGGTAAAGATTTTGCAAGGTAATATATTGTGACATATAAGAATAAGTACTGAAAATAGATAAGAAGGTAACCGATATGGGTTTTTTTTAGTTTTCTTTTTCTTTCTTTTTTATTAAAGGATTATTGCTATATTAGACATAGAACTTAATTAAATAAATATGGAAATGGGAATTTATAACAATATTATATATTAATTGATGATTAGTGATGCATAAGAAAAGAAGAGAGAAGATGATGAAAAGAGAATTATTGTGGAAAGATTCATATCAATTGCTATAATTAATTGAATAGATTAATATCTTTGTAATGTATAGATGACTTATAAGGTGATAGAGAAAATGTAATGCGGAATCTGACAAAAAATAGATATATTTGTGATGTATAGTAAATAGGGAGATTGGTATTAAGGTAGAATGAAGGTGGCTAGCTCGAATTACTAACCAAAGGGGACAAATTTGAATTAATAGAATAAGGACTGTTAAAGTTGCAAATGTGACAGAAAAAGGTAATATGGAAAATGACCATAGAAATGAGATAAGAATTTTATATAACATTGTAAAAAGATATGAGAATACCCTAAGAAAAATGAATTAAGTTATAATATGAACTCGAACTGGATAAAATAAGTTTAACATTTAATATTAATAAGGATAATGTGATATGAAATTGAATAAATGAAATTAATAGGTAGATTGAAATAAAAAACTTGATTAAAAATAAAAGAATCAGAGCTGAGATTCAGGTAGTCCCAGGTGCTATTATAGCGGAAGGGAAAATTCATTATGAAGTACAAAGGATTTTAGACTCCAGACTATATAAGGGAAAGCTGCAGTGGAAGAGTTACCCCTATCAGAAGCTACCTGGGTGTAGAGTAAGGACATACGAGCAGATAAGTTAGTCAAGAAATTCCATGATAAAAAACCCCAGAAGCCAAAAGAATAATCTGCTGATGGGAGGGGTGGCTAATAGGGACTTAATATGTCTGCACATTCTTCAAAACAGTTGATAATATTAGGAGATACTAGCGGCTTAGGATTCAATTAAAATGTTTAGACTTTAGTTGAAAGCTAAGCTTTGGTTTGAGTGGGAAAGTCTTGATGCCAAGCTAAACTAGCTGAAGGATATAAAGTCTGTGGAGATAATGCTACTGCTTTATGATTGCTGAAAGAAACACAGTAACCACTGAACAGTTGGTAGACATTGGCCCAAATAGACAGGTAGAAGAATTATACTTCATTATTCAGAGTCTCGGTGGTGCAGCAGTTAGAGTGCAGTACTGCAGGCTACTTCTGCTGTAGCCAGCTGCCTGCAGTTTTGCAGATCAAATCTCACAGGCTCAAGGTTGACTCAGCTTTCCATCCTCCCAAGGTGGGTAAAATGAGAACCCACATTGTTGGGGGCAATATGCGGATTCTGTAAACCACTTAGAGGGTGCTGTAAAGCACTGTGAAGTGCTGTATAAGTCTAAGCGCTATTGCTATTCAACTTGGGGCCAGAAAAAGCTACTTCTTAGTTGAATTGAACAGTTCTACTAGAGGAATGGGGTGAGCATAGTCATGTATTATTGCCCTACTTGCAAGATTATGTTAATGTAATCTTATTATAAAGTAGAATTAGCTCATCTGACCATTTAATGTTACATTACTATAAAGTAGAATTAGCTCATCTGGCCTTGTGAGATAGACTTGCCTGGTCTACCTCACAAGAAATTAGGGAGAGTCTCTTCAGAACTCCTTGCTTCATCAATATTCTTGTTGCAGGCTAATTTGTCTTTTATGTTACCCTTCTTTTTACTGCATATCTTTGCCTGTATCCCAAGTTCATTCCCACATTCTATTACACTTATTGAATGATAGCCCAAATAATTTAATATTTCTTGAGCTACATCCAGAAAATTCTTCATATTATCCTCATATATCTCCTTTATGATATCTCCAAACGTATTCTACAGTTGAAAATGGAAGAAGAATTGGAAGAAATTTAGTTTCAGCAGAATTATGTAAGGTAAGTTCTGATTGATACATTCTCTATTAACATCTTTATTTATTCATATAGATAATTTTGCACAGATTCCCAAGTAGTGCAGTTAATTAGTTTCAGTGACAAAACTGATCTGGAAAATCTTCATCCAATTTCCTAAGTGTAGGAACAGACATCTTTTGTGGACATTTATTGATTTACTGTTACAGGACAACTTATTGACTGATGAAGACATTACATTTGGGGCAGGGTGGACAAAACTTTTTCAGTGTATTATTTTTCATTGCCCTCATTGAAAAGTCGTTGTCATCATCATCAGCCATTCAGTCATGTCTGACCTTCAGCCACTCTATGAACTACCACTTCCTCTGACTCACACTGCCTCCCTCAGAACTGCCATAGTCATCCCAGTGTCCCAATGTCATCTTTTATGAGGTTCTCCTTGAAAAGGACTCTGTAGAATAAGTCTGAAGATTTCATAAGACACAAATGAGGAGATACTGGGGGAAATTGACTTAAAAGAAGTATTCTTTATGCTACTTTTATTGATTGAAAAATTGATTCAATGTCTAAAAACAGACTGTGTGAAATTGGTCATCTCTTCTATTGACCACTGACCTCTAATTATGAGATTTCATTAACGTTAGCTATGCTATTTTAGCATACTATTAATTCCACTTTCTATTCAAAAAAGGAGTTAAGCAAGTTGTATCCTAGCCTCCTTCTTTTCAACATTTAATAAAATTAGAGTTCCACCCTCCAAAGTTGGGAAATAAATCTGTTTCAATGCTATATATGATGAAGAATACTATCTGCAATATAGGTAGATCCAAGTGGAGTCTTCAAGCCTTCAGCTCACATTATGGAGACAGGAAACACTTATCAGTTCTAACAAAACAAAAGTGATGTATCTTACTATGAGGCCTGCAAGAGGTAGACATTGCTGGAAGATTAATAGTATCTGCCTAAAATAAACTAAAGCATTTAAATATTTTGAAATTATTTTCAATCTTTTCCAGTTTGAAAAACAAAATAAAAGCTGTTGCTGACCAGGCCTACGAAAATGCTAGTGCTATTACTTATCTGGTATCAGCAGATGTAGTAATTATGTTCCCGCTGATATAAATATTTTTAATTTGAAGCTGATCAGCCATTTGTCATGTGTTTGCAGACTTGTACTTGCAAAGATTCAAAATTTTTGGAACTGGAACAGCCAAAATTCCTAAGAGCCATGCCCTGAGTTCCCAGGAATATTTCCATTTTTATTGCCCTTGGAAGCTGCACTAGTTTCTCTAGAGGCTTACAAGGGGTTCTGACATTTAAAATTCTGGCTAAATTTTGAAATTTCCCCTTCTCTTTCTTTTAATTGTCTTGGAACTTATCTTTGACCATAAATAAAGTTTGTTCTATTTTTAAATAAAAGAGTTTAGAAAGTTAGTGAATGGTAGCAACTTTTCTAATGCCTCATTTAACTATTAAAGTTATTTAAATAATTTATTTTTTTTAATTTTACGCCAGATCTCTATTAATGCCTCCCTAATTAAATGTTGCCTAACATTTGAGTGTGTCTTTTGGTTTCTCTCCCATAGGATGGCATGCCATCCAACTTGCAGGTCATGTCCCTTTAACATTAGTATTCTCCTATTGCTTAAAGATATCCAGTCTCTAATCCAGGTTAATGTTGCTGCCTGTTGATATAACTCCCAATCAGGGAGTCCAAAACCACCTCTGTATCTATTATCCTGCAATAGTTTTAGTCTAATTCTAGGTTTTTTACCTTCCCATATTAATTTTGATACCATCTTATTTAGTACCCCATATAATTTTTTATTTAACTTTACCGGCACAGTCTGGAATATGTATAACCATCTTGGTAGCAGGTTCATCTTTATTGCAGCAATCCTTCCTACTAAGGAGAGCTGCAATTTTCTCCATATTTCCAAATCTTTCTTTGTTTGGTTAATTAACTTATCATAATTATCTTCTTTTAAGGATGAACATTTTGCTGATAACCAAATATCCAAGTATTTAATTTTATTTGTAATTTGAAGTTCCGTTTCTTTTTCTAATTCTTTTTTTTATGATCTAAAAGATTTTTAACTAACATTTTAGTTTTATTTTTATTAATTTTAAGACCCGCTACTCTACCATATTCCTCTATTTCGTTTAGCAATATTTTCCCAACTTCATTCGGATTTTCTACAAAAATACCATATCGTCAGCAAATGCTTGCGTTTTATCTCTTCTTTTTTTATCTTAGTGCCTGTAATTTCTTCTTTATTTCTAATTTGGTTTAATGAAACCTCTATTGCAAGTATAAATATCAGAGGTGAGATCGGACATCCCTGTCTCATTCCTTTAGCTATGTGAAATTTTTCCATGAAGTCCCCATTGACCCTTACAGTAGCTTTCTGATTTGAATAAATTTCCTTTATCATTTTTACAGAATTTAGTCCAAATTTCATCTCTGTCATCTGATACAAAAAGAATTCCCAATTTAAATTATCAAATGCTTTCTGAGCATTCAGAAAAACCAGTGCTACTGGTATCTCTGGATGTGCTTCATAATATTCCAAAATATTCATTACTGTCCTGGTGTTATTCTTTTTTTTTATTTTTTTTATTTTTTAACAACAAACATAAACATAAAAAAACAAATAAAACCATCTTTCCATTGTACAGTGTGTCGGTTGGTACATATCTTTTGTGCACAAGATCAACAGTCTTTCCCTTCTACATTTAAATTATAATTCATATTATATATATCAACTATACATATTATATTATATTGTTATTAACACCTTATTAGACTTTAATTATAAATTCACATCATTCTTTTCGAGCAAATCAATAATATTTATATTATATTTCTTTTTCCAGTCTTTCAGTTATTCCCTTCTTTTAATATTTAATATTACAGTCCAAGCTATTCCCTATATTATTTGTTTATATCACAACCTTATACCCACTTTAAATAATATAGTTTGATTAGATTATATCACAATCTTATATCCACTTTGAATAGTATAATGTCGTTATCTTATAGATAGTTACAAAAATATTAAGTACTCTATGTTATTTAGTAAATATTAATTAGTTCAGTTAACTTAAACAATTATCTATAGATTCTAACAGTGGTAATTTCTTATGCTAATTTATACTCTAAATGTATTTAATTTTCTTTAATCTAAATATTTTCAACCAGGTTGTATTATCAAAGTTCTATTATCAAAAATAAGAATTCCTATTTCACTCTATCATATACTTATAGATTTTATATTCTAAATAATCATTACTTAAGCACTATCAAATAAACCATTTAAACATAAGCATCAAATCAGATATTTAACTTTACATTAAGTTCTTTTATCACCTTCTTTTATTGCCTATACAATGTTGCCGTCTCTTTTCTTGTTAAGTTCTCCTGTCATCTACTGCATCAGCCATTCCTTGTTGTAGCATCAGGGTTCCTTTCTCCTCTGTTTCAATTGTTAAATAATATGCCAATAGTCCTTTTCAACTTCCTTTCTTCCAGTTCC